ATATTGGATTTTATAAAAATAAGTAAATAATTATATATAGCTATTAAAAATGGTGTGGTAGGGCTGCAACAAAATTTTTCAATAATTGGTTGATGAAAAGAAAAGAAGAACGGAACTTTATTTATCTGGATTATTTGTACATCATTTATGTAAATGTTAACGAGCTTCCTTATATTTAAATTTAATTTAATTACATTTTATTATTATTTTATTGCCATTTTCCTTAAACTTAATCTATTCTAGTCTAAATAACCTTTTTATGAATAATAACAGTAATCAAGAAATATGTATAATATTATTTGTGATAATAATAACTACAATTTTAACAATTGCTTGCAATATCTGTGAATTATTCTTAATCATATTAGCAGTATACTGTGTTACAGTAAAACAACCTTGTTTCATAAAATTAATAGCGTTTGCATTATTAGTGCATACTCTATATGTTGAGCATGTAATATCATCCCTGTAAGATATTAGCCACCATGGTTTTTAGATTTACATTAATCTAAATATTAACACAATTCAACTTTTTTAGAATAATTACACTCATGTTAATTTGTGTAGTAACAACATTAATCTTTCATGAGAATACTTGATATCTTATTTTTATTAATTAAACATGATAAATTAATATTTCCTTTATTCATCAAGAGATTATAATAATAATCGTACAAGTGTTATGAATAAATCCATTATTTGTTAAATTAACTTTGCAATCAAATATAATGAATTCATAAATACTTGTAATTAATAGTTTTATATTTATTATTATCATACCAATAACGATTAATATCTATTTAATTATTACTATATTATTTATAATACCACATTTAGTAAGATCTTAAGAACATTCAATAGATTATTTGCATTAATCAATATTCAAATTATCACTTAAGTGATCTCATCAAATGCATGGAATAGAAACAATTAGAAACTTTAGAATATTCAATTTATGGTACTGTAACAGTTTGAGAAGTAATTATTAAATTAGATTTACTAATGAAATTGGATATGGTACTTTCAGGGCTAGTTACTGATACTGCGAGACATTCTAATGAATCCATAACATAGAAATCGATCAGTAAGTAAATGAATAGCAAATTATATTTAAAAGAACCTTATTTTAGTGAATATTATGAAAGGAGGAAACTAAAAAAAGGCATTGGTTTAAATTAGACAATCTAGGGAAGCTTTATGAAAGAACTGAATAATCTGCAATGCTTTAAAATTTATCACAGTGAAACATACCAAGATGAAGGTTTACCCTGTAAATCAAAGATAAATAGGAAATTTAATAATTACAACATCTACTGAATTTCAAAGGAAATTCTTTAGATGAGTAATTTAGAAGCAGTTTCACTGATTATGAGTATCATAGAGTTATAAATTAAATTTATCTTGCATATTCAGTCAGTTCTTCTAAATAAGATCATTTGATGTGAATTAAGGCTAGAGTATCATGAAATCGATGTTCTCACATCTTATGATAAAGAAATGTTATTATAATTACAGTTGACTCATACTGTATCATTCTATATATCTTACTCATGAATACTTTCAGTCAATAATTTCAATATTAATTCAATTAGAGCTCTACCACAATGCCTTCTAATATAAAGAAAATCAATAAGAATGCATTCTGTTATGGATACTTACATACACATCTTATTCTACTTCTTACAATCTTCATTATCATTTTTCATTATCCTATTTTAAACTGGCCATGTTAAAAAGCAAGGTTGAGAGAACCATCCATCCAACAAGAGATATACCTGTAAGTATTCCTTTGAATAATATGAATCAATTATGATAGATAAAGTGTTATGAGCATTTTTGATAAAGCTTTATTAGAATGAAAGATACTACAATCATATTTACTTATGCATTCATCAACTCTATTACTTATACATTATGATAATTCACTTGTACAATTAGCATCGTTGTTATAAAAAGTTCGAGTTAGATTTGAAAAATCCAAATTCTTGCAATTGCCATTCAACCAACCACTTTATTGGCATAATAGATTCTTATAAATGTATTATACATAAAGAGGATTTCCTTAGTTATCAAATTTGTCTACTCATGCTTAGTTAGCTAAACAAATACCTTTTTTTTTACAATCCGAGCAATATTTGTTGCTAGTACTTATAGGTTACCAAAAACAACTGATGGTTCCTTCACAACTTTATTACTTAACAGTTAAATCACAAATAGTTTAGGAAACACATCCCAATCCAGTTGTAACATAATCTATGAAAAAAATAAGTTTATTTAGCATTAGCATCAACAATAATTGCAGCTGATGTACAATCTCGCAATAAATTTTGATCCACTCTTCCATGTACACTTACCTTCAGATCCAATTCTTGACTAAGAACTTGTAGTTTCCCATCATATGTTGCGCAAGATTTAAGCTAGCCTTTATCATACACTCTTTCCCTGTTAGTTACACATTCAATTTAAAATTTATTACAAGCATCATCTGTTGTCGTTGAATCAGGAGCTTCATCAAAAACTAAACAAGAAGTTTCTGTAATGGTGCCAGTTCCCTTACAACATCCATCAGTACCAATATATGCAGAATAAGACGCTGCAATCCTTTGTATGTATTACATGGTATAAGTTAGACAGACAAATCCTACTATTTGCAAAATTCCTCAGTATTAAATGCACCATTTTCACATATTCTAGCCCTACATTTAGAGCCACCAACATCGGCTTCACACACTTCATCTGAACCATTATATCTAACACACGTTATGTTATTTCTAAATAGTTGAGCATAAAGGTTTATCTTTTGCAAAAACAAATTCTTTTCCTATTTTTATACATCCTGTTTAATAAACTTTAAATCAACACTTCTTTCCTTTTTATTTGATAATGCTTCCAGCTGTACTTTCAGTATATTTAGAAATTTCTTAATAATACAATAAATTTCATTCATTATATAATCTATTACATTCTATTTTTAAATTGAAGTATTAGAAACAATGATTCAAATATTCATTATGTTTCAACTATTATTCCCGTAACCAATACATTAAGTAATTATAATTTACAATCAAAATTTTCATACACTCTCCTGAGCCCTATTCTTTTTCAACTAATTCCAATTAGGGTATCATAATTTTCAAACTAATATTCATAAGAGTTTTCTTTTTAGGGTGAACCATATCTTTAATCCCTTACTGCATATCTCTTCAAATCTACATCACATAAACTAATATAAATCTAACAAATAAATTAATATATTAATCTTTCATAATATAATATTTTATCATTACGCATTCTATAAAGTTTATTAAAAAATCTAGAATATGTCAATTTGTTCCAATAAATGATATGGAACGAAGAAGTAAGCGAAATAACACACTATTCCGATATGATTATTAATAAATATAATGATCAATAATTCATTATCTTCATTATCTTCATTCCTTCGCTTATTTCTCACTTTATTCTGGTGTATCATCTTAACATGTATATTTAATAATAAATAAAATCTATCGTCATGAAATGGACATATATCATAAAAAGAAAAGAAAAAGCCAAATACTAAACATATAAGTCCAATTAATAAACAAGCTAAAAATTAATGTAGATGAAATGCAAGAATTATGCTTAATATTCAAAAGATTATGAACGATATTGTTGCATATAAAAACCTCTTCCAACATATTCCTTTTTCATTCTTTCCCACAGAACTTACATCTATTTAATGGTATATCTAGATAAACTCAGGAGATGAGTAATAATCCATAAAAATATTTTAAATTTGATAATTTACTTTAATTAAATTGAGTTTATAAGAAAACTATTCCATAAAAATTCTAAACAAAATATACTTAAATAAATAAATTAATGATTAAATCTCATTCGTTAATGGTAGGCTATGAAAAGTTATAAACTTTTTCACGAAAAGCAGAATAGTTCGTAACTATCACAGAGAGAAAGTAGTATTTTGCCTATTAAATTCTAGTTGTATAATAATACATTGCTTTATAGCTGGATTTAGCAAAAGATAATTAAGCAAAACAAACAATTAAAAAACTGATGAAATGGTAAATATATCACTAAGAAATAGTATAACAGGGAATTATTATCAATTCTTCCAGATATTATCATGATAATTGACAATGAAGAGCTATTATAAAGTACTTTTTGAAGTTTTAGTTATTTAAATGATGATAAAAACATTTTATTATATTAATTCGAATAGGGGTTATTGAATTATTAAAATCACTACTTCATTCAAAAAAATAATCACTTACTATTCCTTCATTGAGAACTATTGGAATTATTTTAACAGGTAATGAAAAAATAACCTAATCATATTTTGAAAACTGGAATTTAAAAATCTTTTAACCTATTGACAATAGAATAAAAAAGCTATAAGAAGAGAAGTAATATTATAATTAAATTTTCAAGGTTTTTAAGTTTTTTTATAATATTGTGCTGATACTTTATGCTAAATAAATTATTAATGGATTCGCTAGTTAGAAAATCGACTGCTAGAAATTAAAAAAGAAATTGCTTATTTAATATCTTATTCAGTAATTTATGCAGAAATAGAAGTTTTCGATTATCTTATTATATCTCATGGGCTTGTTGAAAAATTATCTATACTTCTAGATGTACATGATAAAGCTATTATTCAAGTTAGACTAGAAGGAACTTAAGAACTGTTAAAAAGAATTAATTATCTTAATTATAATAAGTTAAGAATAAAAATAAATTATAATTCTATAAATAAATATTTTGGATTCAAATATTATTTCTAAAGTTGATTTAGTAAAGCCGTCACTTTTAAGAAATTTATGAGAAAGCTCTTAAAATTTAAGAAATATTGATCTCTGAAGGATTTGATTAAAAATGATTTATAAATTATTAAATGTATTTCTTATATATATATAATTTTAAAATATTAATTTTAACTTTAAAACTATGTTTCCCTTCTCATACATTTCTTCGTTTTGTTCTTTGCTAGCAACTTTATCAAAATCAATGAGCTAACTGAATTAATAAAAACATCAATAAGAAAATGTAGTTTAATTTCACTATAAAATGATACAATTTAAAGATATAATAATGTGTTAATATATCAATTTTTTCAATAATTCTCTTATGAAAATGATTAATTTATAATTTCAACTTTACCTTTACTATTTAATTGTAGACACGGGTATAAGTCTAATGTTGTGTCGATATTCATAGCCTTAATAAAATTAAAAGATTGATACAAATGATTTGTTTATGGATTATTTAGTCCATTTGACATATTTATTTTTCATATCTACTTCAACAATTATAATATCATTAGTCGAAAATCCCCAACCAATGTATTTATTATCTATTTCTTTTTAATCATGAGAGTAACAATAGCCAGGATTATATATGCAATACGTTCTTTTAAAAACTTTTAAATTCATAATTTATACCCTCCTCCTAAACTACTACAATTTTCATAATTGCTATTTTTCACTATCTCTCTAATCCCAAATCCAATCATTATATATGACATTTCTAAAATCTTAAAAGCAAATTTGGTGACACCTAATTTTGGAATCATTTAATCGCATAAGCAGCATTGCCAAATGTTTAAATCTGTCTCAATCACTTTACCATTTTAAGAAACTTAAGAGTTTAAATGTTTGTGAGTTTTTGAGAAAGTTAAAAATTTTGAAAATTGATCTTAATTATTAACTAAAAAAGGATTTATCTCTTGTCTGAATTAATTCAGTCTATTTTACAATAATTACAATTAGGAAATTCCTTCTTTTTTCTCTAGTTTTGGGAGAATCAATTATTCCTAAATTTCAGAATTAAAAATAACTGAGTTATCATTAATTTTGCAAAATAACTCCTTGAGTCTATCTTCTATTTAATTTATATAATCATGAGTAACAAATTACTAAACATTCAGATTTTCCATTATTTGAATAAATAATGTGTAATAAGAAATCTAAATTATTTATGTATTTTATACTTTTCCTAATTTATTCTTAAATTAATCTCGGCTTTGAAGTAAAAGACAAATTTTCTCCTTCAATTCAATAATCGCTTTCTCAAATACAATTTGTATTTCTCTTAAAGATTTTTCCATTTTTTCTATAAGCTCTTTCAAAATTGTTTCTGGTATATTTTCTAAATTCCTTATTATCCTTTTACTTTTCTCATCTAAATTAAACTATTTTAGAAAATAATGAGGCTCTTTCAGAGCTTTTCTAATTGTCAGTTTTTTAAATGATTCTTCATAATTTTTGTCACAATAATTTTCATGGCACTCTTCACAAGCAAATTAGAGAGTTTAAGAATTCCAAAGCAAATAGATAGCACTATTATCAGGATGATTTTTGCATAAAATTTGATTCATTTATTAATTTTAATATTGAAATCTAATGAAATTACATAAAATTTCAACTAATTCTAGAATTTAAATAATAAGTTTATATAATATATCAATAATAATGATGCAAAGCAGAATAAACAATTTTTTTCTTTAATTTTGTTAAATCGATGTGCTATTGTCTGATCATTTTTATTTAATAATTTCAATAATGTTAAGATATATACAAAATTGGGTTTGAGTAATTGAAGCAACTAATAATAAATTTATAAATAAAGTTTAATCCATTATGTAAAGTATAAATTCTATATCCAAATGTTTTATCAATATAAGATTTGAAAAATGATTGAAGATCTTAACTTTAACTTTATCTATTTTTCAAATATCAAAATTAATGAGCTATTAGGTCATAAACTTGAAAACCATATTTCTATATGTTTTGAAATGTTTGTATAAATTATTAAAATTTTTTTCTACATAGCATTGCATCTATGATAGTTTCGTAATAATTAAAGAAATTAAACTTCGAATATTTCTTCTGAAAAACTCTTAAAATGTTTACTTTTATATGTTAGTTTATTAAACGAAAAAATTTTGAGATTTTGAGCAAATATCTTACAGATTCTAATTTTGGTCAGAAATTTAAACAAGAAAGGATATCTGATGAAAAGGAACAAAGAGATGCTCATTTAACATGAAAAAAGTGGAAGATGCATGAATTATCTTACAATAATTTTAATTAGATCTGTGATATAGTTCTTAGCTAAAAAAATTATAGATATTAATATCATAAAAGTTATGAGTATTATCATTATTATATTATTATTCTATCTATTCTTTTGCCTTTTTTTACTAACATAAAAATTAAAAAATATAAATTTAGCTTAAAGTGAAACAAGATTTAGCAGAAAAATAAATAATAACGATTTATATGACTGTCCACTTATTATGATTATTTTAATATATTTTAGTTTAATTTAAATTCTAACTTTTAAATGTACAATCATTGAAATATTTATTTAGATTGATATCAGACAAGTTTGGATATACATAACTTTAATCATTTAAAATAATCTATTTATGAGTAATGATTATCCAATACAATAATTTATTAAGTTGATAGGATTCTATCTATCATTGTTTTTAAATAAAAATAAAAATTTTGGTCTTAATTATTAAGTTTTATTTGATATATCAATTCGATAATATTATCACTTTATTTAAGTATTTTGGAAATGATCGAATAGATTGATTATAAAATCACTGAAGAATAGTTGTAATTACTTTTATATATTTATGATATTTGGGTCTTAAGATAATTAATTAATTATTATTAATATTTTTAATTTTTTAATTGTGCTTGAATCATAATTGTCAAAAAGGTAACCTAAACTTGCAGTGAATGTTTAACTACAATTCATTCAAATTCTTTAGATCATTAGAATGAATAGCAATAGAAAATTAATGAGTCTTAAAGATTTATTAAATTAAGGTACAATGAATTTAATTGTATTTTAGGAGATACATTATATTATTTGAATATATACTCAGAAGCTCTTGAATTTTATGAAAAAGCTATTTCTATTAGTCCTAAAAATGATGGGAAGTCATAAGGGTAATTAATTTATAATATAACATTTTAGGATTATCATTATAGAAAAATTGAATTAATCCTAAAAAGCCATTTAATGTTGCGATAAAGTATATTAATCCTAAATATGATATAGGATAGATTAATAAGACTAAATAATTATTAAATATAATTATTTAGGGTTGGGATTACATAAACTGAATCGATATTAAGAAGCAACTGAATGCTTTGATAAAGCTATTTCTATCAATCTTAAGTACTAGTTCACATAGGTTTATAAGGGTAATAAATTTTAATATTCTATCTTAGGATTAGCACTAGATAAATTGAATTATTGCTAAAAAGCAATTGAACGTTCCGATAAAGTTATTTCTATCATTCCTTAATCTAGAATTTTAAGGATAATTAATTGTTAAGTATGATTATTTAGGATTAACATTATCTATTTTTTAGATCGATGTAAGGCTGCAAATAAATTTAATCAATCCTAATTAGCTATTGAATGCTATGACATGGAATAATAAGGGTAATAAATTGCCCAACATTATTAACTAGGATTTACATTATCTGTTCATTTAGATTGGTTAGCTACTGAATGTTAAAAAAAGCTATTTCAATTATTAAACCCTTTTGGTAATTTCCAATGTAATTATTTGACATGGTTAATATTATGAATGAATAATTTAGTGTACAACGAATATCAAGATTACTAAAAAGTAATTTATATGTGTAAATAAAAAATAATAAAAATGATAAAAAAATTGGTAAATTGTTTTTTAAATCAAAATATTAATAAAAACAAAATAATAAATAGATGGAAGTGAAAAAAGGTTTAACTGATTATTAATAAATTTTCGTTATTGGTTAATCTTAAAATTTTTAAAAAGTAAAGAGAAATAGTTTAATTGAAATTTAACTATTTCAATTTTTTGGATTCCAACAAATATTTCTCTCATCGGTTATAGATTAATAAAACTTTATTTATTCCTAAAAATGATGCAGATTTATTAATATCAAACACATTAAATATTAATATTGCCTAAATAATGATTAACCATAATTAATATGATGGTTGAGAGTTACTTTTAGAAAAAGTTTACAGCATCTTCAGAAATAAACAATTAAAAATTGAATTAAACGATCAAAATGAAATCAAATAAAATTATTGAAAAATTAAAAAATATATTAAATTGAATTTTGTCCATTAAATTATTTGCAAACAACTAAATTTGTTAATTATTTTTGAATTAATTCCCTACTTTTGAGTTTCTAGTAATATTTTTTTTATTATATAATTTCTAGACTTTCTTTAATTAAAAAAATCGTAGCTGATAAGTTGAGACAGATTATATAGGTATATCAAGTAAGGCAATATACTAACTAACAAAAAATTTGGTGAAGAAGATGATTTAGTTGTAATCAAGATAAATTATCCTTAAAGAA